TTCCTGGTAGAAAATTTAAAATGCGAAACAATTTGTTAAATTTCTTAACTTGGCAAAACTCGTCTTGGGCAATTTAACGACTATTTCACGAACCTTGCAAAATTAAAAGAAAAATACCGGTTGTACTCTTTTCTTGCCCAACACACAATATTTGGAGATCTATGGCGGTAGGGCAGGCCGGACTCGTTTGGGCTCTTCTAGTTTTTGGAACTCTACTACGTTCTTAACCAACTAAGATAATCTTTTATGACGAAACAAACATCAGAGTCGATGACTTGGGATATTACTCATGCAGAAATATAGATATATTGCCAAAATATGATCATGCATTGAAAACTCTGTCTCCTGCCCATGCTGCGAACACCAAAATGGCGGATAAAAAAAATCAAAACAAAGCTGTCAAAGTAACAATAAACTTTTTAAATAATGGTTTACTTTATTTATACTTATAGTTATGAGCGGGACGGGACATACATCCGAACCCTGGCCCGATAAAATTTCCATGTGGGCACTGCTCTAAACCTGTTAGAAAGAATCAACGGGCTATCCAGTGTGAGGATTGCCTTTACTGGCATCATATCAAATGTATAAACTTACCAATAAACGAGTATGATCAACTATCTAACTCATGTGAAAGCTGGTATTGCCAACCTTGTACACTACCAGGTTTTACAAACTCTTTCTTTGAAATCTCCATAAATGAAATAGATAACAAGCAAGCAGCTGATTGTGATTATCTCCCCTGCCATTCAACCACCATTTCCGGAATGACAGATGTAAACAAACCTAACGTGCCAGATCTATTTGAAGAACTAGCCAAAGTAAGGAGATCAAATCCATCAAACTTAATGTGCGGGTATTTGAATATTAACAGCATACGTAATAAATTTGAACATATTAAAGACTTGCTACAACGAAATCTAGTTTATATATTATTCTTGACTGAAACCAAAATAGATGCATCTTTTCCTGATGCCCAGTTTTCCATAGATAATTATACAATGTGGCTTGCTGACCGAAATCAACATGGAGGAGGGATAATGTTCTTCATAGGCTCTGACATTGCTGCCGATAGGAAGGGTCATTATGAATTTCAAGAGATTGAGTCCATTGGTATAGAGGTCTCATCTGGTAGTCAGAAATGTTTTTTTGGTGAAGTCTATAAGACTCCCAGTATGACCGATGAACTTTTCTATACAGACTTTAGTCAGTCAGTAGATAAAATTATTTCTAGATATGAAAACTATATTTTTATTGGCGATTTTAACTATGATATGCTAAATTCTGATAAAAGTGCAACACTCTGTGACATCTGTGATATTTTTAATATGAAAAACATTGTAAAGAAGGCTACTTGTTTTACTAAAATAGCAAAGGCAACTCTGTTAGATTTAATTCTAATTAATCAAGAATGTGATTTTAAAAAAGTATGTAATTTTGGCACTGGCATCAGTGATGTGCACAATTTTATTGCTGCTCAACTAAGCTGCGATCTGCCTAAAATGTTACCAAAAAGGAAAATGTGCAGAAGTTTTAAAAATTTTAACGAAATAAATTTTTTACATGATTTAGGAAATCAAAATTTTGATATATCAAAATATGAAGATGTCAATAATGCTTATGATGATTTTAGTAAGAGTTTTGTTGATGTTGCTAATAAGCATGCACCTTTTAAAGAAAGGAGAATTCTACCCAAACAGGTATCATATATGAATGTTTAGCTTAAGAGAGCTATTTATAAAAAGAAAATGGTACATAACAAATTTCAAAAATATAATAGCAATAAAAATTGGGAAGCATATAGCGTAAAAGAAGAAATGTCACAAAATTGAAAGATAGGTTGCCAGGCAACGAAACATACGCCCACAGCAGCTATATCGTCCAGGCAGTCAACAAGAGTTGTCGCATATTTTTACTTTTTTCGGTAATGAAACATTTAAAATACATTAAAATCTGATTAAGAGTAACAACTCATTAAGTAATTACCAGAAAACTATTAGAATTTGTTTGGTTTTTATAAAGTTCTGTCCCATGCTAATGTTTGTTTAGTATACAAAACTTTTAACATCATGGATTTAGCTGTACAAGTCATAAAGTTTCATTGAAAATCAATATACTTGTTCGTCTTAAGACCTTAAACTCTGTGTTCCAATCTGTAGTCAATCGGATGATAACTTTAGCCTCTAGAGCGTCACAAGATTTTTCAAAAGGAAATAGGGCCATAACTCTGGCAGTAATTAACCGAAATCGTTGAAAATCAATATGATTCTTTATCTCATGACCTCAAACACTGTGTATAAATTTAAACTCAATCGGATATTAATTTTAGCCTCTACAGCGTCCACAAGATTTTTCAAAGTGATCAAGGGCCATAACTCTGGTAGTAATTATCCGAAATCGCTGAAAATCAATAGGCTTCTTCATCCCATGACCTTAAACACTGTGTATAAATTTAAAGTCAATCGGATATTAACTTTAGCCTCTAGAGCGTCCACAAGATTTTTCAAAGTGATCAAGGGCCATAACTCTTGCAGTATTTATTGGAAATCGCTGAAAATCAAAAGGCTTCTTCATCTCACGACCTTAAACACTGTGTATAAATTTCAAGTCAATCAAATATTAACTTTGACATCTAGAGCATCCACAAGATTTTTTGAAGTGATCAAGAGCCATAACTCAGGCAGTAATTATCGAAAATTGTTGAAAATCACCAGGCTTCTTTGTCTCATGACCTTAAACACTGTGTATAAATTTGAAGTCAATCGGATATTAACTTTGACCTCTAGAGTGTCCACAAGATATTTTGAAGTGATCAAGGGCCATAACTCTAGCAGTAATTATCGGAAATCGCTGAAAATCAATAGGCTTCTTCGTCTCATGACCTTAAACACGGTGTATAAATTTAAAGTCAATTGGATATTAACTTTAGCCTCTAGACCGACGGACAGACGGACGGACGGGGGCGACAACAATATACGACCACATTTCAATGTGGGCGTATAAAAATAAATCCGTAAACCAATATTTTATGGAAAGGTGTGCTGGGGGTCCTAAATCTAAGGATTTTTGGCCAACAGTTAAGCCTTTCCTGACAAATAAAGGTAATATTAATCAAAAGGAAACTGTACTTACTGAAAATAATGTTTTAATTACCAAACAAAATGAGGTTTGTGAAACTTTCAATAATTTTTTCGTAAACGTAGCCAAGAACATTGGTAATAATCAAATAAAGGTTGATGACAATCATCCTAGTATTTTGGCAATTATGTTGAAATTTACCTATTGCAGGTAATATTGACGTTCAGGTTCGGGTTATACTTATGGAAAGGATATGTTGACATAATTACTTGCATTATTTAAAAAAAAATTGATGCTTTTCCAGTGACTTTTAAGGAAGCTCAGGTTACTCCTATTCTAAAAAGAATAGTGTCTTAGAAAAAGGAAATTATAGACCTATTAGTGTATTACCAGCCATATCAAAAATTTTTGAAAATGCAATTGAAGTACAATTAGTACAGTATTTTGAAAATATCTTCAATCATCTTTTGGCAGCCTTTCGGTCTGGTTTCGGATGTCAATCTACTCTTTTACGTGTGATTGAAGATTGGAAAAAAGCTCTTGGTAAAAATGAATACCTAGCAGCTATCCTTATGGACTTATCTAAAGCTTTTGACTGCCTCCCCCATGATTTATTGTTGTTGAAATTAGAGGCCTATGGTCTGTCAAAATCTTCACTAAATTTACTACATAGTTACTTAACAAACAGAAAACAGTGTGTAAAATTAAATCAAAATATAAGTGATCTGCAAGATACTTTCAAAGGGGTACCCCAGGGATCCATACTTGGTCCAATAATGTTTAATATATATAAACGACTTGTTTTTTTTTGTAAAAAACTGTAATTTGTATAATTATGCTGATGACAATACTTTATCCAAATCTGATAAATCCTTACAAAATGTTATTTCAGCTTTAGAGAAAGACAGTAACCATTTGATTGAATGGTTTTCAGTAAATAAAATGCAAGCCAACCAAGAAAAGTTCCAGGCTATAGCTATTGGTAAAAAAAACCACATGGCGAAAATGTTGTATTTGATCTAAATGGTATTTCTATCTCATGTGAAGATGAAGTTAAATTATTAGGGGTTACTATTGACTTTAAACTAAATTTTAAGACACATATATCAATTATCTGTAAGAAGGCCCCATAGGCAATTAAATGTCCTGAAAATAATTGGGAAACATTTAAATAGACTTGGTAAACTTCCTATCTATTATTCATTTATTATGTCAAATTTTAGTTACTGTCCGTTAACTTGGCATTTCTGTGGAGAACAAAACACTAAAAAAATTGAAAAAATTCAAGAACGAGCGCTCCGTTTTATATATGACGATTATCAAAACTCATATGATTTTCTTTTGGAAAAGTCAAAACTACCATCTCTCAAAACCCGTCGTATGCGCACTATTGCCATGGAGACCTTCAAGATAATAAATAAGAAAAGCCCTGTATTTATACAAGATCTGGTTGTAATTAAAGCAAATTCTTATAATTTCAGGTATATAAATACTACTGAGGTACCCAGACCTAAAACCTCATCATACGGCAAAAAATCTTTCAGGTATGAGGCAGCACAAATATGGAACTCTCTCCCAAACGAGGCTTGAGTTATGAACTCATTCGACCAGTTCAAAAGTTATATAAATAGCTGGTGTGGGGGTCAAAAATGCAAATGTAGTGGCTGTTGTATCCATCCCTCGCTGCCTCACAGCTGAAATACTTTCCTTTTCTCTTGGCCTTACCTACATATATGCATATTTTAATGCTTAATATTTTAGTACTTCTTATTATTTCATGTGTCTCATCTACCTATGTATGGTGCTTGCTATGTTTAGGTCTGTATATACTGTTTTATGTTTGTCGGCTTAAGAGCTCCTTAGAGCTTGTGTTATTTTGTTATTATGTATATATGTACCGACGTTAAATAAAGATTACTTACTTACTTACTACTATGTGAAATCGGCGAAACAAAACGACAGCACTCTGTAAATAAATACCGAATTGAATAATAACAACGACAATAATATCTAAAGACAAAAGCGTAATGAGAATATTTTTAACATGTCTTTATTTACCATTTGATGTTGTGACAATACCACGTGCATGGCCTATCTAGTGAATATTTTCTCCGAGCATGTGCTCCAAGTGTGCCTGAGCCTGTTTCGTCATCATTGAGAAATTCGTCTTTGCACAGTCAACACCTCTCCAGGTAAGACCAGATTTCTTAGAGCTACTCGCGGCACCCTACTTTTAAAAACTGTCCAATAACAATGGATCTTTCTGAAACTTCTGGTACAGGAAGTTAAGTTCCTATACAACGTGTTAAATCTATCCCGACAATGATCCGTAAACCGGAAGTAGTCGAAAAAATATTTGATATTTAAAAAAACCACAGTAAAAATCGGTGCTCTTGCAAAAATCGTGATTTCGCCGTCGGGTATGACCGCATCAAAACATCTAAAGTATCGTTTGGTAGCTCGATGAATGGGCTATTGTATGAAAAACTTCCTGTGTGATTCCTGAAAGCCGGTTCAGCGCTGCTTGAAGTTCTAGTTATTATTATTAATTACTGTGGGCCCTTATTTCTCAGTCCCGGTAAGAGATACCGATCTGGGATCTAATTTTCTGTCGGGAAACCATGTTATGGTTACTCCATAAACTATTCTTGAAACTTCTGCGCAGACTAGAAGTGGCCGAATTTGGTATGGTGCCAAAAAGTTAAAAAAAACAGCCGTTGTTTTGTCAATTCTTGACCTATTTTCAAACAAATGACATTTTCGGAAACCCTGAGTCTTTTCGGGGCCGATAGCAGTTGAAAATTTCTAAATTTCGAAACTTCGTCGTTGACTTCTACTTCTAGTGATCGAAAAATGAAAAAATGTTGTTAATGAGACAATTTTGTTATTTTTCAAAAATTTCAAATTTGACCTACATTTTTAAAAAACCTGATGTCCATCCGATTCCAGCCATATAAGTTTCATTCAGAGTTATCGCACTTTATTTTTCGAATTTTTTCGAAATTTCTACCCATTTGATAACCCATATATTTTTTTTGAAAGGATCAATTGATGTTTCTGAAAGTCCTGGAACATAAAGCTATAATGTCAGACCATTGGATAAAGAAATTTCAACAACAATCTGTGTACCGGAAGTAGTCGAAATAATGTCCGATATTTTAAAAAAAAAATGCAAAAAATGGGTGTTTTGGGGAAAAACTCGATTTCACCGTCTGATATCAACGGATTAAACAAATTAAGGTATCATTGGGTCAAGCGGAGATTGGACTACAGTATGATAACCCATGCATACAGATACTATGGTCATGTTCGTGTCAAGATGGCGGACTAGAGAGGTCGAGTAGATAGCCAGAGAGAGTTTTCCCAAAACGTTCAGTGATAACATAAGGATAACATAGGTATGATGATTATTATACCTCAGTGACACAGATTATGCATATATTTCAAAACAATATATACCAGATTATTTGATACAATGTATGTCAACTTTTTCTGAATATAAACTTTTCCTGAATATATACAGTTTCAATACAGCTCACCAGAGTTTTTGTGAGTATCGTTTAGTTTGTTAACACAAGCAAGCGTGGGTAAAGACAGAAAAAAACAACCAAGACCTGACCACTCAAGTACAAATTCTGCTAACAGCAGTATAACTAATTTCTTAGATAGTGTGACAAAGGATGATGAATCCATACGATATTTTTTAGCTGAACTCTTAAAAAGGGACGCAATAGTAAATAAACTGGCCACCCTCATCCAGCCTACTCTAACAACGCCATTGATTGAAAAAATCTCATCACTACAAGAACGAATAGATGATCTTGAGCAATACTCAAGAAGGATGTGTCTTAAATTCCTTGGTCTAATAGAAAATAATACAGAAAATACGGACCACTTAGTATTAGACTTAATTAATAATAAAATCCTGGATGGTGAATATCCACAAATTACATTAAACCAAATTGGACGTAGCCATCGAGTTGGAAAGCGTGTTCCTAATAAAACCAGGGATATCATTGTCCGATTTATTAGCTATCGTGACAGGGCCGCTGTTTGTGGCAACAAACGTAAATTAAAACCCTTCAACAAAGGACGTAGTCTTAAAATATTTGTTAACAAAGCATTAACTCATAGACGATCGCTGTTGTACAAGAAGACTAGAGATCTGTTAAAATCCAAGCATATTACTAATTGCAGGACATACAATGGTCGTATATAAGTTCAACCGCTAGTTGGCGTCAACACCATTATAAACTCAGAAGTTGATCTCCAAAGTCTGATTGTTACTAATCAAAACAACACTCGAGATTATATACCAATGACCCATCAAGAAATAGTGGTCAGTCCATCAGAAGATAGAAACAGGTCAGAGGTCAACATAACCACAAATGTCATCAACCCGACAGCAAGTGAACAAATTGGATATGTCCTAAATTCTGCCCGGCCAAATACAACCATTAGACAACAATCTCTGTTAGACGTCGGTCTGTTTCCAGCCACCTCCACTCCAAAATCTACCGTAAACGATACTTAACTATGTCTTTAAGAAAATCCCAAGATATCACTTAATTTATTATAATTATATATAAAATATCTTTCGGATAAATTGTGAATAATAACGTTATTCATAGTATCTTTAATATTTAAATCTGTCCAGTATTTTCAATAACAAATTAACTGTTGTATGGCCTTTCATAAATTTCCATTGTTGCGTTCTTGCACTCTTTCGAAATGTGTATATCAAATATCTTTACCATATTGTGTATTACTAATTATTAATTTAAGATCACACCCATAAGTACATGTCATGACCATACATTGACTTCGACTTAGTTAAAAACGAATAACATCAAAAGTTCAGCATTACTTTCCATATGGATTTTGTATAATGCAAACAAATAACATCAAAAGTTCAGCATTACTTTCCAAAAATTTGAACATAGTACTTACTCAGGATTCTTTGAAGCTATTAATGTAACGAAAACGTTAACGACACAAACATATAAGCAGAAACCCCAATAAAGCACATGTATTCTATATAAGACATGTAAAATGGATAATTAAAGAAAAGTCAATAAAATGAAACTTTATACTGTATGATGATTTTTATATTATTGCTTAAGACTAGATGCCATATACGTACTGTATTAAAGGAACAAATAATATATGTGGAAATGTACAATATATTTACTTTAAAATCACAATTAGTATGTATAAACTCAATAGAACTTTCAGTCAAATCAATTGTCTATTTTTTATAATATGAAATTTACACAATTTTTGAAGAAAAATATTGAACAAATAATGGAATAAAATCCTCTCTCAGGATTCGATCATCAATTTCAGACACTGCATGTGTCATTGTAATGTAACAAACCATTGTAAATATAATTTTGTTGTAAATCAGCTCATGTATATATGGTCGAATGTCTCAAACAACTACTTTGTGTGTGGAAATGTTATCACTTATAAATTATACAAACTATGTAATGTGTCGAATTGTCCTGTCCTGGCCATGTTCATAGTGTCCGATACACACCATTAAAGTGTATCATTACATTATAAATAAACAGGAAATTCTGACACGTCATAGCATACCAGGTAAATATTTTAACATATGTATGTAATATATCTTTACTTCTAATTAAGACATTATTAATAAGGGGGTGTATTGAGTCAAACCCAGGACCAGACGAAAAACGAATCGTCTCGAAAAAAAATATCAATTGTTCATAACAATGTATGTAGTATATTACCGAAAATATTAACAATTGAAGCAGAATTAAGTAATTATGATATTATATGTTTAACTGAGTCACACCTGGATCATTCTATTTCTGATTCCAGAGTATGCTTACCAGGTTACCATACTCCTGTATGGTTAGATCGAAACAGACACGATGGTGGTATAATAATATTTATAAAAAGTAACCTTTCTTTTCATGTAAGAAATGACCTGCGCCATAATGATTTAGAAATAATTTTTGTCAGTATTAGTAATTCTAAGTGTACGTTTCAACTAGGAGTTCTATATTGTCCACCAAACACGCCAATTTCCTTTTGGGATTCATTTTATGATATAGTAAGTAAAGCCTTAGACAGAGGTACCTTTTAATATTAATGTTTTATCTAATGTCAGTAATGCCAAAAAACTAGGCGTAATATTACAACGCTTTAGTCTAGTAAATCTCATATATGAATCAACTAACTTTACAACCCATCCCGGAACACGCATAGATCTGTTTATTACAAATAAAAGGTATTTTATTTCTAAATATACAGTATTGCACCCTATATGTAGTACTCATTCGTTAATAATTGTAGAAATTAACTTTAACACCTATAAACAATTATCATATAGACGGAAAATCAGAAATTCTAACAAGGCTAATTTTGAAGGCTTATGTAATTCTCTTAAACAAACAGAATGGTCAACAACGGTTTTTAATAGTAATGATATAAATAAATTATATAATAATTTTGTCCTTGACGAAAACACATCAAAATTCATTCCTAGTAAAGTAGTCACAATTAGACCCAACGATAAACCTTTTATGAACAACTGCATCCGCCTAAAAATTTGACAAAGAAACCGAGCCCATAAGCGTGCCAAAAGGTCAAATAACCCAAACTATTGGCTACAGTTCCGTAAAATTAGAAATGAGGTAATTTCACCCATACGTCAAGCGAAAGATGATTTTAAATCAAAAATCACTAATAAATTAAATAATCATAAAGTCACATCAAATCAGTGGTGGAAACTAGTAAAATCAGTTGTGAAAATGGAAAACGTAAACAGTAATAATCAAACCCCAATTAACCTCAATGGCAAAATTTATTAAATTCATACTTTACATCTGTTTCAAAACTAGATACCTCACACGAATTACCCCCCTTTGATTCACGCTCTGACATCACAATGAATGATTTTATCGTAACTGAACAAGAGGTTAAAGACTAATTAAA